TCTTTATCCATTCACCTTTCAATGGACATCTGGGCTCCTTCCATAGTTTGGCTATTGTGGACATTGCTGCTATAAACATTGGGGTGCAGGTGTCCCTTTGGATCACTACATTTGTATCTTTGGGCTAAATCCCTAGTAGTGCAATTGCTAGGTCATAGGGTTAAGTCTCCTTTTTTGGTGGAGTCTTTATCTAGTTTTGGGATCGAGGTAATGCTGGCATCATAGAAAGAGTTTGGAAGTTTTCCTTCTGCTTCTATTTTTTGAAATAGCTTCAGAAGAATAGTTATTAATTCTTCTTTAAATGTTTGGTAGAATTCCCCTGGGAAGGCTTTCGGCCCTGGACTCTTGCTTGTTGGGAGATTTTTGATTACCGTTTCAATTTCCTTGCTAGTTATGGGTATGTTCAGGTTTTTCTATTTCTTCCTGTTTCAAGCTTTGATGGTTTATATGTCTCTAGGAATGCATCTGTTTCTTCCAGATTGCCCAATTTGTTGGCATATACTTGCTCGTAATGTGTTCTTATAATTGTATTTCTTCAGTGTTGGTTGTGATCTCTCCTCTTTCATTCATGATTTTATTTATTTGAGTCCTTTCTCTTCATTTTGATAAGTTTGGCCAGTAGTTTATTGATCTTATTAATCCTTTCAAAGAACTAGCTCCTAGTTTTCATTGATCTGTTCCACTGTTCTTTTGGTTTTTGTTTCATTGATTTCTGCTTTAATCGTTATTAATTCTCTTCTTCTGCTGGGGTTAGGCTTTATTTGCTGTTCCTTCTCCAGGTGCTTTAGGTATAAGGTTAGGTTGTGTATTTTGAGACCTTTCTTGTTTCTTGAGGAAGGCTTGTATTGCTGTCTAATTCCCTCTTAGGACTGCTTTTGATGCATCCCAAAGGTTTTGAACAGTTGTGTTTTCATTTTCATTTGTTTCTATGAATTTTTTTAAAGTCTTCTTTAATTTCTTGGTTGACCCATTCATTCTTTAGTAGGACACTTTTTAGCCTTCGTGTGTTTGAGTTCTTTCCAAATTTCCTCTTGTGATTGAATTCCAGTTTCAAAGCATTGTGGTCTGAAAATATGCAGGGAATGATCCAAATTTTTTGGTACCCTTGAGACCTGATTTGTGACCTACTATATGATCTATTCTGGAGAATGTTCTGTGCGCACTCGAGAAGAATTTAGGATGGAATGCTCTGAATATGTCTGTGAAGTCTGTCTGGTCCAGTGTGTCATTCAAAGCCCTCGTTTCTTTATTAATCTTCTGCTTAGATTATCTTTGCATTGGAGTAAATAGGGTGTTAGTTAAGTCCCCTACTATTATTTTATTATAGATGTGTTTCTTTAATTTTGTTATTAATTAGTTTATATAATTGGCTGCTCCCATGTTAGGGGAATGAATAATTACAATTGTTAGATCTTCTTGTTGGGTAGACCTTTTAATTATGATATAGTGTCCTTCCTCATCTCTTATTAGTCTTTGGTTTAAAATCTAATTTGTCTGATATAAGGATTGCCACCTCAGCTTTCTTTTGATGTTCATTGACATGATAAATGGTTTTCCATCCCCCCTCTTTAAATCTGGAGGTATCTTTGGGTCTAAAGTGAATCTCTGTAGGCAACATATTGATGAGTCTTGCTTTTTTATCCAGTTTGATATCCTGTGTCTTTTGATTGGGGGCACTTAGTCCATTTACATTCAGGGTGATTATTGAAAGATATAAATTTAGTGCCATTGTATTACCTGTAAAGTTACTGTTTCTGTAAATTGTCTCTGTTCCTTTCTGGTCTGTGTTCCTTTTAGGCTCTCTCTTTGCTTAGAGGATCCTTCTTAATATTTCTTTCAGTGCTGGTTTAGTGATCACACAGTCTTTCAGTTTCTGTTTGTTCTCCTATTTTGAATGGCATCCTAGCTGGATAAAGTATTCTTGGCTGTGTATTTTTCTCATTTAGCATTCTGAATGTATCATGTGAGTCCTTTCTGGCCTGCCAGGTCTCTGTGGGTAGGTCTGCTGCCAGTCTGATGTTTCTACCCTTGTAGGTTGTGGACCTCTTGTTCTGAGCTGCTTTCAAGATTTTCTCTTTGATTCTGAGATTTGCAAGTTTCTCTTCTATATGTTGAGGTGTTGGACTATTTTTATTAACTTTGAGGGGGGTTCTCTGTGTCCCCTGGACTTGAATGTCTGTTTCCTTCCCCAGATTAGGGAATTTCTCTGCTATAATTTGGTCCAATATACCTTCTGTTCCCCCCCTTCCTCTTCTTATGGGATCCCAGTTATTTTAATATTGTTTCACTTTATCATATCACTTATCTCTTGAACTCTCCCCTCATGATCCAGTAATTGTTTATCTTTTTCTCAGCTTTTTTATTCTGCATCATTTTGCCTTCTGTATCACTAATTTTCTCTTCTGCTTCATTTATCCTAGCCATTAGAGCCTCCATTTTTGATTGCATCTCATTAATCGCCTTTTTGATTTTGACTTGATTAGATTTTAGTTCTTTTGTTTCTCCAGAAAGGGATTTTGTAGTGTCTTCTATGCTTTTTTTTTTTCAAGCCCAGCTAGTATCTTTATAATTGTTATTCTGAATTCTAGTTCTGACATCTTACTTATGTCCATACTGATTAGGTCTCTAGCGATCAGTACTGCTTCTTGGTCTCTTTTTCTTTTTTTCAGGTGAGTTTTTCCATTTTGTCATTCTATTCAGAGAATAGATGACTGACAGAACAAAATACTAAAATGGCAACAATGACCCCAGAGAAATATACATTAACCAATTCAGAAGAAAGCCAAAACTGGAAAATAAAAAAATATAATCAGACAGGTGGACAGAACAGAACAATACACTGGATCCTGTGTATATTTTAGTCTCTGTATTAGAAAATTAGAACCCAAAAATGTAAAGAAAGAAAAGCTTATATATGTACAAATATAAAATTAAATACAATGAAAGGATAGAATATAACTGTAAAAATGAAAATTAAAAGACACACACACAGAAAGGGAATATAAACAGATATGTGAACAGAACAGAACAATACACTATATCCTGAGTGTATTTTTTTTGGTTTATTAGAAGAAACTGCATCTCAAAATTGTAAAGAAAGAAAAATTTATATATATGCAAAAATGCTATTTAATATGTTGAAAAGATAGAACGTAACTGAGAAAATAAAAATTTAAAAAAATCTAAAAAAAGTTGATAAATTCATTGTAAAAGGAAAGAGAAAAAAATTAAAATTGAAAGACTAAAGAATTGTGGGAAAAAAACCATGAATTCTATATGCTGTATTCTCCTAGTGCTGGAGGTTTGCAGTTCTCAATGATTAGTCAACTTGGTTTTGGATGAATGTACTTGTTGATCTTCTGGTGGAGGGACCTTTTTGCCTGATTCTTAGGCATCTTTGCCCTGGTGGAATTGTACCGCCCTTGACAGGGGGCCAGGCTAACTAATCTGCTTGGAAGGCAGCTCCACTATATCACCAACGCACTGTTTGGGATTGCTCTATGTGGCTTTTGTTCCCTGAAGGCTTTCCCCTCTGCTTTAGAGGATGAAAGTGAAAATGGTGGCTTCCCAATCTTCCGCTAGGAGCCCCCACTCCTTAATGCCCCCTCAGAGAAAAGCAGCCAATCACTCCTGTCTCTGGTCTCTGTGGTCTGCACTCCATACTCACCCAACCTGTGACTGAGCATTTCTATTTCAGGCATGCAACTTCATTTTGAGTCTCCAAACCCTGGAGATTTCTGCAGCTTGCATCCATGATGCTCCACCTCGGGGAGGGAGGGGGCGGTTCTTGTCGTTGTTCTGCTGCTTGCTGGGTCCCTCTTTGGGCAGCGGTTGCACAGGACATGCTGTGGTTTCTGGTTTATGGCAACCCCGAGCTGAGAGCCCACTCCTGGGTTCACCAATTGCAGCCAGCTTCCCTGCTCAGATGCCTAGGAACTCTGCCACACTTAGGCACCCTCAGTCTTCCTGTGTGACCCCAAAGATCCTGAGACTAAACTGTCCCTAAAGTGGGTTATTTGTAAGCATGTGATTGAGGTTGAAGGTGTCCATGCCTTGTGTTCATGGTGGGGAGTTTACCCTGCTCCTTAGTAGAGAGGTGGAATAGTGTGAGAATGCTTCATGAGTCTCATGTCCCTTTCCTTTTCTTCTTTGCCTTCTACTTAGGTCTCCATAAAAGCAACCACAGTTTGCTTTCTCTGTCATTTTCTTGGCAGGAAGAGTATAATTTTGCTGGTTTCTTCCTTAGAGAACTCAAATCCTGGAGCTAGTTGCTGTTCTTGTCTTCAGTTGGTGTTCTTGGGGGATTATATTTTGTTCTTCTGTTTTCTTGCAAACCTTCTGTGTTTTACCCTTCTTTGATACTTAAAAATCAGTGTACAAAAGGTATCATCATGCTTTATTTTATTTAAAACAAGAAAGGATAACTTACTCCTTTCTCATTTCAGTTATGGAAACATGTAATCTCAGTTTTTTGCTTTATATATTTTTGTTTGTTTTTGGTCTGCTTGTAGGAGATTTTCTCTTATGTTTTTGAAATTTTTAAAAATATTCTCTCTGTGTGTATCTCATGAATAAATAAATAAAAATCTTTAAAATAAAAAATAAAAAAAATATTCTGTTAACCTGCTCTTTTGTGTTCATTCCCATTTCTATAAGGCCCAAAGAGACTGATTGCCCTCTCTTGTTGAATTAGTGGACAGATTGTAGAATCTACAGTTTTTACACCGAGGAAATAGGGATGCCTGGGTGGCTTAGCAGTTTAGCGCCTGCATTTGGCCCAGGGCATGATCCTGAAGTCCCGAGATCGAGTTCCGCATTGGGCTCCCTGCATGGAGCCTGCTTCTCCCTCTGCCTGTATCTCTGCCTCTCTCTTTCTCTCTCTCTCTCTCTCTCTCTCTGTCTTTCCCTCATGAATAAATAAAATCTTTACAAAAAAAAAAGGGGAAATAATTTTTGGTTCCAGGCCTTGGTAAACTGGCTATTTTCTCTCTTCAACCTAGGATGGTGATCGAGACATTTTTATCGATGGGGTTGTTGCTCGTAATAGAGCCTTGAATGGGGATCTGGTGGTCGTGAAGCTCCTTCCAGAGGAACAGTGGAAGGTGAGTTAAATTTTCCTTTTCTAATAATAGATGACTCAGGGCCTTTTTATTCTGTGGTGCATCCATGAAACATCATAAACTGGAGTAGTCATGGACTGCTGAGGTCCTGTGGTTGCCTCAGAAGTAGGCCATGCAATGCTTAGAACTTAGAAGCATCTGGCTGGCAGACATCTAATGATTTGAGTTGTTCTCCTCACTCCCTCCCTGTGATCTGTCTTCCCTGTCATATGCCTTGCACTGATTTCTGATAATTTTTAGGATAGAAGAAAAGCTTGCAGGGCACATTCAAACTATATGTAATATTTCCTCACATTAATGGTGGGCAAACTAGAAGGACAAAGCCATAGGCATGGTGGCAGTGTTTGCACATTCTTGCTGCCTCTATGGGAAAATTCAGCCAACACATACCTAGTTCTGTAAGTTACAGTTTGGTGATTGGGCTTCCCTTGGCAGAAAAAAATAGACTCTGTCTTTTTATAAAACAGAGATCGGTGGCAGACGAAAATGTTTTTAACATGAGAATATGCTGGGTTTCAGTCTCCATATATGTTTGTCAATTGAAAAGAAAGATGTGGTTTTTGACTGTTGTTTTAAATAAAGGTTGGGCACTGGAAAGATTCATAGTAGCAGTTTCTTTGAATTTTCATGTAGAACTGGCAACTTGTGTGTCCAAGTCTAGATTTTTCTTTATAGCATTTCTTCATTTCTTTTATTTTATTTGGCTCAATTCACTGGTATTGAGGAATATAGTGTTGTCTTCAGTGAGTGGTACTATAGGATTAATAGAGTGAGCTTTTAGGCTAGGCTCCTTGGGTTTGAATTCCATTTCTGCCACTTACCTGTAAAACCTCAGTTGAATTATATAACCTCTCTGTGCCTCAAATACCTCACCTGTAAAATGGAATAATTACAGTACCTACTTTATAGGTTTGTCATGAAGATTAAATGAGAATACATGTAAAAATCTTAGAATGGTGCCTGACCCATGGTAGCAGCTCAAGCAATGTCAGTTTTTATTGTTAGCTTTTATAGAAATGGGGAAAATACTACCTTATCTCAGAGCTTTGTCCAGATGTAAATTTGTTTTTATCTGATAAAGCTAGAGTAACTGAGTTAGACCTATGTGCCAGGGATTTGTAGGGTGTAGGGATGTTAATAATGATCAAGATAGACATCACTCTTGCCCTCATGGAGCTTTTAGTCTGAGGGAGTGCATGTAGGAAGAGACAGATACTAATCACACACAGATTTAAAGATAATTATTATTAATGCCATGAAGTTAAGTACAGAGTGTTTTATGAATCAATTTCTAGCCTCAATTCCCCCAGTGCACCCCCAGTTGCTTACAGTTGTGGTTATATCCTCCCTTGATTCTGAAAAGTGCAGCTAAGGATTGGTTCCAGGTCCTAGGAATGTTTATTGATTTAGGCTATTTACTCTTTTCTGGAAAGCAGCATCTAGCACAGTGTTGATGAGATCTAAGAAGATAAGAGGAGTACATTAGGGCCTGGTCAAACTAAAGAGGTATCCCTAGAAGTCATTTGAGGGAGTAAAGAGGCAGAATTAGAGTGAAGATGATCCAAAGAAGGAACAAGAAAGATGGTGGTTTCCTTTAACTTAAGGAGTGAGAATGGGTAGAATAGAAAAAAATAGAAGAGTAATTACAAATTGATGATTCTAGAGCTGACCAGAGCAGGTGCAAGGTGTTGACAGGTTGAAGAATAATAGAGAGCATATATTACAGCACCTGTTGAGCTCTGCAGAGGTGAATGAGGTTGATTCTAAAAGAGCAAGGCTGGAGCACTTGGGAGCTCGGTTGTGTCTGACTCCTGCTCAGGTCATGATCCTGGGGGCCTGCTCAGCAGGGAATCTGCTTCACCTTCTCCCTCTGCCCTTCTCCCCACTTGTGCACACTTTCTCTCAGATGGATAGATAAAACCTTTGGAAAAAAAAAAGAGCAAGGTCAAGTTGCCTGGCATCCTTCCTACCTTGGCTATGGCAGGGGATGGCTAAAAAACCCAAACATATCAATAAACAAATCAGTTACATTATTTTCCTTATTCTTCACTCCATTTGTATTTAAGACCAGCAAGCACAGCCTTTTCTGGTATTGTCAGATGCACCCTAGCTTTGGACAGAAAGATGAGGGTAGTTTGGAGGTGAAGGTGTTTGTTGTCAAGTTGTAGAAGGACAGTGTAAGACTTGGGCATTCTTATTTCTGCTTTGGTGCCTTTGCTTCTAGACAAAAACCTATACCTCCTTTGAGACTTAACACAGCAAAGTTGTGTTTTTTCCCAAGAGGCCTAAGTTTGTGATTTTGTAATTGCTAGGTCACTGGAACTAGTTAAGTAGATAAAAATTTACTGAAATTCTTGTAGTGTTCCCACAGTCAATATTACACATTGACATAGCTTGTTGTTGTTCTATTTTACAGTTAATATCTAAAGGCAGAAGAGATTGAGGGCCAGATGGGAGTTTTAAGCCAGGGAGTGATATGGTCTTATTTAGCCAAAAATCACTCTGGCTGCTATTTGGAGATTGGAATGCAGTGGGGGCAGTTATGCATTGGCATGACTAGTCAGGAGGCATATACTGGGTCATGATAGTATAGATGGAGAGAAGTAGGGATACATTTTGTGAGTAGAGCTGATGGGACTTGAATATGGATATGAGGAGTAGGGTGAGTGAAAGGGAGGAATCAAGGATTAAGATTCTAGTTTAAGCAAAATGAGTATGATATCATTAATTAAAATGAGGAATAGTAGGGAAGAACATGTTTGGGTGCAAAAATTATGAGTTCTGCTTGGCTATGTTAAGTTTTAATTTCTTTTCAGACATGTTAATAGAGATGCTGAGAATATATGGAGGCCTAGATGGTTCATTACTCATAAATTCTACTAAACATTTAAGGAAGAAATAATCCCAAGTCTACACAAATGCTTTCAGAAAATGCAAGAGGAGGAAATCTTTTTCAACTCCTCCTATGAAGGCAGCATTGCCTTAATATCAAAAGTAGGAAAAGACATTAGAAGAAAGCTATAGGCCAGTACTCCTCACAAAGATAGTTTAAAAAGTCCTCAACAAATTTTAGCAAATAAAATCCAGCAACATATTATATTAAAAGGATAACACAACATGGGAAAATGGGGTTTATCTCAAGAATGCAAAGTTTAATATTTGAAAAGCAATCTGCTGTAATTCACTGTATTAACTGACTAATAATAACACTATATTTCAGTCAAGTGTCGTCATTTTAATAGATGCAGAAAATGTGACTGACAAAAGTCCACAATCATTCATAATAAAAACAGCAAATAGAAATAAAAGATTCCTCAGTCTGGCAAAGCACATCTAGGAGATATTTATAACTAACACCATTCTTAGTAAGGTGAAGGACTAAGTGGTTTTCCTTCAATATTGGGAATGGGGTAAAAATGTCCCTTCTCATCCCTGGATATTCTAGCCAGTACAATAAGGCAATAGAAAAAAAAAAAAGCATTCAGATTGGAAAGGAAGAGGTAAAACTGTCTTTATTCTTAGACCATACGATTTTCTAAGACCATATGATAATCCTAAGGAATCTACTAGAATCCTAGGAATCTACTGCTAGAACTAATAAGTGAGATTAGCAAGGTTGAAGGACAGAAGTTTGATATAAAAAAAAATCAATTGTACTTCTACATATTAGCAAAGAGAAATTGGAAATTAAAAACATTAAAGTATCTTTTTAGTAGAATCAAAATTATGATATACTTAGGGAAAAATTTGACCAAAGATGTGTAAGACATGCACACTATAACTGCAAACCTCCTGGGAAAAATTACATAAGACCTCAATAAATGGTGAGAAATACCATGCTCATGATTTTAAAAATTTTTTATTATTTTTAAAAGATTCTATATATTTATTCATGAGAGACACAGAGAGAGAGGCAAAGATATAGGCAGAGGGAGAGGTAGGCTCCCTGCAGGGAGCCTGATGCGGGACTCAATCCCAAGACCCCAGGATCACTCCCTGAGCCAAAGGCAGGCACTCAACCACTGAGCCACCCAGGCGTCCCCATGCTCATGAATTAAAAGACTCAGTATTGTTAAGATGACAGTTCTGTTCAGATTGATCTATATATTAAGCCCAGTCCCAAAGAAAATAATAGCAGACTTCTTTATAGAAATTAACAAACTGATTTTAAGATTTATATAATTATGCAAAGGCCTTAGGATAACCAAAACAAAGAACAAAATTGGAGGCTGCATATTACCTGATTTCAAGACTTACTATAAAGCCCTGGTAATCAAGACTGTGTGGTAATGTTAAGATAGACGTATAGATCAATGGAAGAGTAGAGACTCCTATACGGACCCAGGCATGTATGGTTAATTGATTTTCTACAAAGGTGCCAATGTAATTCAGTGGAGGAAAAGATGTTTTTAAATATGTGCTATTTCAATTGTGCAGCCATATGAAAAATAAAACTTTGACCCTTACTTTGTACAGTATATGGAAATTAACTTGAAATAGATTGTAGATATTTTGAATTTCTATAAGAAAAAGAGGGAAAAATTTTAGTGATCTTAGATTTGACAAATATTTCTTAAATATGAAACATAAAAGAAAAGTCAATAAATTTGACTTGGGCAAAATTGTAAACTTTTGCTCTTCATTAAACACTTGCAAAAAGGCAAGCCACAGACTAGGAGAAAATATTTGCAAAACATTTATCTGACCAAAGACTTTTATCTAGACCATAAAGAACTCTTTTAATTCAGTAACAGACAGCCTATTTAAAAACTGTATTAAAGATTTGAAGAGATACTTAGTAAATGAGATATATGGATGGCAAATAAGTGTAGGAAAAGACACTTGATGTAATCAGTCATTAAGGAAATACAAATTAAAAGCACAAGATAGAACTATTAAAATTGCTAGAATGGCAAACGTTCAAAATATTAACCAAAACCATTGTTGGCAAGGATACAGAGCAACTAGAACCCTCATACACT